TAAAGAAAATTATTTTTTTAAGATTTCCATTTTTCATGATTAATTTTTCTTTTAAGTAGGGCTAACTTTTTAAAATTACTTTTATGGTGTTTGTTTATCTTTCACTTGATGTTTTCTAATAACCATAATTTCGTATTTTAATTGTTGTAAGTACTTAGTTTTATTTTTCACATTTGTGATTCTAATATATTTACAGAAGATTAATCCACAATATGAAATCAATGTATCCATAATGTCTTTGTCCTCTATATGGCAATCACTATATTTTTAGGATTATATATCACAAAACTAGTGCGGTCAAGATTAGGACAGAGGACTCCAAATCTAGTTTCCTTTTCATCAAATCATGCTGCTTCATTATGACTCCCATCAAAATTGTAAGATTCACAAAAAAGGATTATGCTTTAATTTTATACTTCTGCATACTCCACAGTACAATTTACTAATATTTAGTACATAAACGTCATTTCTACCATAGTAAAACACTTCCTTATTGACCATGACTCATAAAATTACAAACAAGACTATGGTTGGGAGAAAGAAAATGAAGGTAAATATATGAAAATCAATGATTTGTAAAATACAGTCTTAGGCACTGCTGAGTAATCAAAACAAAAAAAAACAAAGGCTTCAGAGAATTTATAATTTACAACCAAAAAAACCAAAGCTATAAAAGCATAAATAATACAAGAAAAACTATGCATTCTTTTTATGTTCAGAGGTGGTTGTCTTTTTTATTTAAAAAAAAAAAAAAAAAGTGTTAAAGTATGAACAAAATTGTAGTAAATGAAGCTCATTTATTCACTCAGCAATTATTCACTCAGTACCTCCACTGTCCAGTCATTGAGCTAGATGTGGAGAGTATAACAAAGAATAATACAGGTTTGGTTCCCATCCTCATGTGGAGAATCAAATAAGTAAACAAACCAATGAAATTACTCTTATTTACTAGAAAAGTTGTAAGGAAAAAGAATAGTGTTTTACAATTGTCTATCTGTGTCTGCTAAAAAGTAGAATGTCTGGTCAATGAAGCAGCTAGAGGATGAAAAGCCAGTCTTTCAAATTATAAAAAAGACAGTGTAAGTGTGTGTTATGTGGGGGGGTGGGTGGGGGGAGGTTGCTACATATGTAAGAGGTTTAAGGACCCAAAATGCCAATGTTGCTGAAGCTTAATGAACAAGCAGAAAAATGGAACAGACAGGGTCAAAGAAGTAAACACTGAGCAAATCACACATTTCAAAGAAGCAGGAGGTCCAAGTTATGGTTGAGGAAAAGTAAATATGCCAATTTGGCTGGTTGCTGTTGTTCTTCTTAGGTGCCATCAAATTAGCTCTGACTCACAGCAACTCATAATGTATGTACAACAGAACTAAACACTGCCTGGTCCTGTGCCAATCTCACAATCCTTGCTATACCTGTATACCAGTTTATTACTACATACCAGTACATTACTGGAATTTGGCTGGAGTACTAAGCTAATGCAAAACAAGTTATATTTGTATACCACCAACCATCTTCATCTATGAAGGAGCTCTGGTGGCATAGTGCCTAAGGCATGTAACTGCTAACCAGAAGGCTAGAGGTTCAAACCCACCAGTCACTCCTCAAAAGGAAGATTAGGCAATCTACTTTTGTAGTGATACTGCCTCGGAAACCCAACAAGGGGTCGCTATGAGTCAGATCCAACTCGACGGCAGTGAGTTTGGTTTTGGTTTCTTCATCTATGAGGTCTTAATTTAATTCTTACAACAAAGTAAGATAGATAATGTTGTTCTTCTATGAATAGGGAAGTATGATTCAGAAGGGCTAAAGGTCTTGCTAAAGAGCTCTGGTGGTGCCGTAGTTAAGGCATTGAGCTGCTAACCGAAAGGTCAGTAGTTCAAACATACCAGTTGCTCTGCAGAAGACATTAGGCAGTCTGAATCTGTAGGATTTACAGCCTTGGAAACCCAGTAGAGGTCACGTTAAGTCAGAATTGACTTGATGGCAGTGAGTCTGGTTTTGGGAAAGGTCTTGCTCAGCAAGGTCACAAGATAATAAACTAAATCTCAAATCCAGACATTCTAACCCAAGTCAAACTCATATTCTTTGTAATATATAACAACAACTAATAGGAAGATAAGGTTAAAAGACAAACTAAGACTCTTAAATGCCAAGCTAAGGAATATGGGCTCTACAGCAAAAAAACTGATAGAAAGAACATTAATTAAAAAGATTATTCTAATTATTTCTAAATTATAGACAGAACACTTTCAAACAGAACCTCTTTTATTTAAAATAATTATATATACCAAATTATATTCCCCAAAAATGTAGTATTAAGAGAGAAAGAGATGTAAAGAGAAAACAATGCAAATGAGGTGAGTAGTAGAGAGGGTGAGGAGAGAAGGCTAAATAGTATCTTTAGTAAGGACACCCATACTTTAATCTGTTCTTTAATAGATTTAGCTTGAAAAGCAAATTCTGCTGTTTGAAAACCAGATTATAAAGTCAACGCTACCTCCAAAATCTTACTCTAAAGATCTAAAACTTACTCGCAGTAAAGCTTTTCTTTCAGTCATTTATTTGCCCATCCTACGCACTTGACTTCTAACCAGAAGGCTGGCAGTTCAAACCCACCAACCACTCCTCGGACGGAAGATGAGGCAATCTACTTCCTTCCATAGTGATACTGCCTCAGAAACCCAAGGAGGGGTCACTATGAGTCGGGTCTGACTCAAGGGCACATAACAACAACAACACGCCATATGATGACTACTTCAATAATCAGGCTGATCTCTTTAGCTTTCTATTAAAAGCTAATTATATACAGCACTAATATAGGTTGTTTGAGGCAAGTTCAAAATAAGACTTTTGCCTACACATTTTCAAAGAATATTTTCAGAGATAATATGTATGTCTACCATAAAGTTTCCTTGTACACTAGGCATTATAACATAAAAATACACAGTAAAAAAAAAAAAAAAAATTCCAGTTAAAAAATGAGCAGAAGACATGAAAAGACACTTCACCAAAATGCTATTACTAGGTACACATCCTATAGAAGTGAGAGCCAGGACACAAATAGATATATGCACACCCATGTTCATAGCAGAACTATTCACAATAGCAAAGAGATGGAAACAATCTAAGTGCCCACCAACAGAGGAATGGATAACCAAACTATGGTAACATACCCACAATGGAATACTACACACTAAAGGAGCTCTGGTAGCATAGTGGCTAAGACACTTGACTGCTACCCAGAAGGCTGGCGGTTCAAACCCACTAGCCACTCCTCGGAAGGAAGGTGGGGCAATCTACTTCCGTAGTGATACTGCCTCGGAAAACCCAAGGAGGGGTAGCTATGAGTTGGGTCCGACTCGATGGCACATAACAACAACAACATAGAATAATGTAGAATCTACGTATGTGTATGAACTTGGAGAACATTATGCTGAGTGCAAGCAGTCAATCACAAAAGGACAAATATTGTATTAGTCCACTATTGTAAAAAGTCAAGGAAAGGTTTACGTATGGAAAGAAACTTTCTTTGTTTTTTACTGGGGTGGGGGGTGGGGTGGGGAATTGCTAGATAGGTAAGGGACAAGTACTAATTTGGGTGAAAGGAAAATATACTAAAAGCAAGTGACCAACACAGTAACAAGAAAGAACCAAGTACTTAGTACTAAGTACTAAGGAAAAAGAAGACACAGAGGTGTACAAGAAGTATAGAACACAAAGATAAACAGTTTTATATAATACTGTATTATCGGTAATGACAAATATTAATCTATGGGTGGATACATAGGTACAGAGGCTAAATGAACAGTTATGTCTAAGCAATATATATGACTATATATATGTTTGGCAAACAATATTTCTACATACATATTTGTATGTCCTGTAAAATTGCCTATATATATAATAGAGCTAACAGGACAAAGTTATGGTAACTTCTTAGCTATAGCCAAATACCCTGAGGGAGTGAGTTACTGGACCCATAGGCTCAGGACCATGGTCAACTGGCATAACACATTACACAAAAACAAGTTCTACATTCTACTTTGTAAGTACTGATTAGGGTCTTAAAAGCTTGCAAGCAGCCATCTAAGATAGACAGCACAATTGGTCTCTCCTCATCTACAGCAAAGAAAAATGAAGAAAACTAAAGATGCATGGAAACAACTAGTCCAAGGGACTAGCAGATCATGCAAGCATCAACCAATATGACCCCGAGACCAGATGAACTAGATGCTATTTGACTACTACTGTCAACCACTTGGAAATGGATCAAAATTGGAGATCCTGGACAGAATAACAGAAAAATGTGGAACAAAACTCAAAATCATAAACGTTTAATGGTCTAACAGAGACTGGTAAAACCCCCACAACTAGGGCCCCTAGTGACCTTTCAGGCCTGGAATTAAACTCACTCCGTGACTTCTAATCAAACATAAGATAGGCATATAACGTGAACATCTACACCAGGTATGTATACTCCTTAGAGGAATCAACCGTGGGCAATCAGAAGGGCAGTATTTACACAGGGAGATACCTCAGAGGATAGGACAGAATAGGACGGCACAGGGAAAAGGCAGCCACAGAGAAGAAGTGGGAAGAAAGCTATTACATTATGAGCACTGCAACCAATGCCATGAAAATGTGTATGAAATGTTGTATGGAAAATGAACTTGCTCTGTAAATGTTCACCCAAATCACAAGAAAACAAACAAAAACCATATTCTCTACCCAAAAAAAGTAGAAATACTCTATCAAGCCATTTTTCAATCACTAAAAAATAAAGAGTAAAATTATACATTAATACTCAAAATAAATAGTAGTGAATACTTTACTTTAAATACAAGGGTTCTTCAACTGTATTAAATTTGAAAATGGAGACTTTAACATTAGAGTTAAGAGTTTTATGACTGATAATTACATACATGGTCAATACCTACAACAAAATCAACAAGAACAAGTTAATATAGAGAATTGGTTATTTCAATATATGCACATACCTTTGTCCTTCTTAAAATCCAAAGCATCTTCTTTATCTGTCACAATTTCCTTCATATTGATAATACTCTGGTGGGTAAGCTGCCGAAGAATTTTAATTTCTCGAATTGCTGTAATAGGAAAGCCTTCCTTTTCATTATCTAGACGTACTTTTTTTAAGGCTACCATTTCTCCTATTAGGAAATTAAATAAAATCAAGTTACCATCAAACTTGATGACTCTTTACTTAATTTTAAATTTATTTTAATTCATAATTTATGTTCCTACCTCTTTAAATGTTAACTCATAAAATGTATTTTAATTTCCAACATACCAAATGATATCTGAAGCTCAAAAAATCAAGTGTTTGGTTAAATAAATTATGGATTATTTATTCAAATCACAGAATACTATATAATTTTTACAAAGAAAAAGACAGTCCATATGTATTGTTATTTTATGCTCTTCAAGATATAGCTAGTAAAAAAATTTACTAATGAGTAAATATATTATACTGTCACTTATTTTTTCAAAAGGGGAAGTTTTAATATACTTGTATGCTTATACGTGTATGAAATTTTTCTGAATAGATGAGAAAATACCATACACTTAGCAAGAAAGAAACAAACTCTGCAGTAACTGGGATTTAAAAGCTTGCAAGCAGCCATCCACATGCAACAATGGGTCTCTCCTCATCCAGAGCAAAGAAGAATGAAGAAAACCAAAGCAGCATGGAAACAATTAGTCCAGGGGATGGGTACACCATGTGATCCTCACCCTTTATGATTATGAGACCAGAACTAGATGGTGCCAGGCTACCAGTGTCAACCCCTTGGAGGGGGATCTATGTAGAAGATCCTGCATAGAGTGGGAGAACAATGTGGAACAAAACTCAAAATCATAAAAAAAAGGGGGGGGGGGCAGGTTTGCTGGTCTGATAGAGCCTGGTGAAACCCCTGAGACTATGGCCCCTAGTTGCCCTTCAGGTCTGGAACTGAACCCACTTCAATGGCCTCCAGACAAACAAAAGACAAGAATATGAGCTGAACATTTACATTAGGCAGATGCGCTCCTTGGGAGAGATCTATCATGGGAGAACAGAAGGGCTAGGTACCCACAGGCAGACAGCTGGGGAGGGGTGCAGGAGTGCGTGGGAGGGAAGAACACAGGGAAGAGGTAACTGTGGGGAGGAAGTGGGAAGAAAGCTGTTGCACTGTGGGAAACTGCAGTCAATGTCATGAGACAAAGTACATGTGAACTGCTCTATGGAAAATGAATTTGCTCTGTAAACTTTCACCCAAATCACAATAAAATTTAAAAAAAAAAAAAAGGAAGAAAGAAATAAACTCTGAAATATCAATCTGCCAAAAAATGTCCAGTTACCTTGTAGTCAAACTGGGATTCAAAAACTGGTTTAGCTGTCTCAAAAGAATGTGTTCTTCTCCTTATGCTAAACTGCCTCATAATTTAGCCATGAATGAATTTTATAGCAAACAAAATCTAAGTAAACTGCATGTAAAAAGAAAACTGTTATAAAAAAATTTCACTTTAAAAAGCTTTGTTCATTCTACTTCTTTGAAGAAAAGAATGCTGCACTTGCAAATTTTCTAAAAGATGGACATTCATCCTTCCAATCATTAAAATATATTTTATCCATTTTTATGGACGTCTTTCTATAATACAATATGATTCTTTGTTTTATTAAACAGTATTAAAAGTCGTAACTTAATCTTTTTGATAATACAAAAATCATCATTTTAAGTATCAATACTCCATTGCTGTAATTTTCTTAATGAGTTTTTAAGCATAGACCCTATACTTAATGGCTTCAAATACCTATGCCATTTTCATCTATTGGCTTATTTCAACAAAGAATTATGAGTAAAGATTAAAGACTCGCCCTATGCAATATCTACTAAAGTGCATGGCCTCTGAACATAGCCTAGAACCAGTTAGTTTTTCCTCTAACACAAAGCCTTCTAAACTTTTTCCAGGTTCCTGGTTATGTTCTGAAAGATTAAGCTGTTAACCTGGCCTCCAAGGAGAGTGATTTTTATAGAAAAAAAATTTTTAGACATACTGAAAGTGTTACAGAAGTGTTAATTTACTACTAAGAGTAATCCATCCAGTCAAAATATGTTCTTCCCATGATTACCAGCAATATAAGAATTATTCATAATAAAAGAAAAAAAGTCTAAATCCCACCATACAGGTAGATCACAGATTTTAAAAATCACTTTAAAATGTTTATATATACACACACACACACACACACACACACACTTAAATGAAATGTACTTTCATGTAAAGTAGATACAAAAATAAAAAAAGAAAAAGATAAAAGTATAACAGAATTCTAATTTAACTTGTTTTTTCAAAAGTTTTAAAGTTACACTTTAGAAGAGACACAAATGAAGTACATTCCATGTGCCCAAAGATCCATAGTACTTGGCAATCTTACCAGTGTCTTTATCCCTGGCCTTGTAAACTTGTCCATAGGTACCTTCTCCAATAATTCCGATGATATCAAATTTATCGACGCAGCGTTTTCCCCAGTCAATGTCTTTTTCTTTGATTTCACCATAGCGAGGCCCACATATTCTATCAAATATAGTTCTGAAGTTTTCATATACCATCAAGCAAATTAAATAAACTCTTTAATAACTCAATACCCATCCTCCTCCCAATTTTGTATCCTTTATTTTTCCCTCACCCTTGTATATTCATGATCATCTATCCAAGACAAGTAACACTGTGATTTGGTATTTTATCATGAAAAGTCATGGTATCATTTCTCCAGGCTGACTCTTGTTCTGTAGACTAGAGCTTAAACTGGGAAGAGAGTTAGTAGAGCTTATATGAACCAACACTAATAGAGTAAGTCAAAGTTCTCTAACCAACCTCTAGAATGTTTTATTATTCATTCACTAACTATATCATGTACATATGTAAGTGTATCAATATGTATGTGTATTTGTGTATATAGTACATTTTACACATACTCATATCTGCTTACAAAAAATACAAAAGTTTGATAATGAATAGTAACAAAACATAATTACAAAACTTATCTGCAAATTAACACTTATGGCTGGATGAAATCATTTTAAAAATGGAAATACCAAAACGTAGATTTTCAATCTCAGAGAATACAAAAGGTATTAATATAATATACTCTTACGAATCCACACATAAATACACACACACACACAGATATATAGACTAATTATATAAATGTAAAGAAATATAAATATGACAAAAATTTCATATTCTTCAAAAAGATGGCATATTTTAATATTCTGAAAGATCGTAACAATTCAAATAAAAAAATAAAGTGAAAGTAACCAAGTAAAGTTATTTTAAGTTTTCGTGCCTAGTCCATACTAGAAAATGACCTTATATTTATAATTTATACTAGGCTCTATCTGAACCACAATTCTAAGATCGGATCTAACTCAAAGTCTAACTAAGACTTTGCCTTGGTTAAGCAGAAGTAAAAAGAGAAACCAATGTTGTTCCTACCCTTAACTGACAAATAGCTTTCAAGCAAAAGCATTATGTCTAGTTACTTAATTAAGGTTAATTTAGGATACAGATTTCAAACCTTCTTCCACTCCACTTCTTACAAAATGAAGAATGCACTAAATTATGGGGAGAAACAGAGCTAAAAGCAACAGATAACACAATAGCTTGCCCATTCCTATTTTAGTTTGGGCTCATTGAAACCTGACTTCAACCTCATCTAATATTAGTATTTTAAAGTTATTTAAATATCTTATGTATAGAAATTATCATTAACATAAACAATACCCCCAGAAATTAATACAAACTGTGAGAGAAAATAAATTTGGTTTTATTAGATAGTATAAATAGGTATGCAGGCAATTTTGAATTTTTTTTTCCAAAACACTAAAAGAATTTATTCATATATTTAACGAGAGAGAATAAATATACTTTATTATTTATTATGTTATTTTGTATTTTCTAATTTTATGATTATCCAGAATCATTTCTGGTAAATTTAAGAGCAGGTAGAAAGCAAGCACATACTTAGGCCTCCTTTTACTATGTAACTGTGTTGTTGCTTTCTTCTCCTCTGGACTTTTTGATAAATCATCTCCTCCTGGTAGCTCAGGGGGCAGTGGTAAATCAGCTAGCAGACATCGTAGTTTCTTTTCTACCTCTTTTTTAACTGCTTTTACTGAAATATTTCCTCGTAGGCTGAAAAAGAAAGGAGTAAGACAGACAAAATACAAAAATGTATTTGGTTGAGAAACACAAAGGAGGTATGTCTTACATTTAAGCAGCACGTAATGGCAGTGAATACTCTGCAATAATTCTTCACACTGAAAAGCACTAATCTAGATTTCTTTATATTCCAGTTAAAGTAATGTACTATATCTAATTATAAAACATATAATTCAGGGTTAAAATGATATAAAGTTATGTTAGAGATTACTAAGAAAAATCTGAACAAAGCATGTACTTTAACTAATAATAATGTTCATTAATTGTAACAAATGTTGTAGACTTGTGTAAAATGTTAACAATGGGGAAACTGGGCACAGGGCATGAGGACTCTGTAGCATTTTTGCAATTTCTCTGTAAAGCTGAAACTACTCCGAAAAATGAAGTTCATGTTTTTAAAATGACAAAGAATTATTACAAAACTGTAAATAAAAACTGGAAGGCAGTAGCTTATACTCTGCAAGAAGTTTTGTAACAGCATTTGGTTTCATTCTGGTAGAGTCACAAAAGTTGTTCTGTTACAAGAAAGAAAGAAAACCACATGCAATTATTTATCTTGTCCATTTACATAACCACATGTAACAACTAATTCAGCTTCACCCCTTTCCTGGTTTCATTAATTTTTCTGAACTGAACAATGATTCTTTTTAAAAATTTAAAATATTTATATGGCTCTAGCTTATTATAAGGAGCTATGGTGGTGCGGCGGTTAGGTTGTGAACCAAAAGGCTGGTGGTTGGAACCGAACCCACCACACTGTCAAAGACCTGGCAATCTGCTTCTATAAGATTAAAACCCCAATGCTGTCGAGTTTAATTCTGACTCACAGCAACACTACAGCCTATAGGACAGAGTAGAACTATCCCATGGAATTTCCAAGGCTGTAAATCTTAACAGAAGCAAACTGTAGGATCTTTGACCTGACAAAAGGCTAGTGAGTTCAAACCATTACCCATCTTTGGTCAGTGGCCAAGCACTGAACCACTGTACGACCAGGGCCCCTTATTCAGCCTTGGAAACCCCACAGGAAGGTTTTAACCTGTCCTCCTATAGGGTCGCTTTGAGTAGGAATTGACCTGACAGCAATGGGTTAATTAGCTTACAATAACTACAGATGAAAACATAAGCTGTTAGTTTTGTACCTTTTATGAATGCAGAAGAGCTCTGATTTTTAAAGTATATCTTAACCTGAAAATTGGTTATTTTAAATGTGCTAAATATTATAAAATCTGTTATCTAATAATGACACATTGAAAGAAAATATTAATAAGAATAAAATTTTAGACTTGACGTACTTTCACAGTAGTTATGAGCCCAATGATGAAAAAATTTAGTGACACTACAGAGCTGTTACAAAATTACTTATGATGTTATCAATCTAAATCACTTAATTTTAATAATCACTTTTTCTATTCATCTCAAGTATTGACATTATTGTAAACCACAGATCTTTTCATATCAATTAAATCAATATTAACAAAATTCTGCCTTTTCTTAATAACTCCATGTTACTTACTAGAAGTTTCTTTAAAATGGAAAACAAATGTTCAAAATGAAATTGGTTTTGTTGTTGTTGTTGTTGTTGTTTGCCGTCGAGTCGACCCCGACTCATAGCGATCCCTCCTTGGGTTTCTGAGGCAGTATCACTACGGAAGTAGGATTGCCCAACCTTCCTTCCGAGGAGCGGCTGGTGGGTTTGAACCGCCAGCCTTCTGGTGAGCAGTCAAGTGCCTTAGGCACTATGCTACGAGAATTGGTTTATAGTTCCAAAAAAATATGCATTCTGCCAGGTATTGTGTAAAGCACAAGAGATGTGAAACAACAACAACAACAATAACAAACACATTAAAATACAGTTCATGCCAGAAAGGAGCCTATAGTCTTTTGGATAAGTAAAGCAACAACTTGATTCAGTAGGATAAAGCACTATAAAAATAGATTACTAGAGAAATGTGGAAACATAAAAGGGTAGTTACATCAGATGTGAAAAATAGGAAAGGTTTCTTTTTGAAAAATAACACTTGAATACTGTCTGAAAATAGGCTATTTAAAATAATTTATTCAGAAAACCATAGTCTCTAATAACTCAAAATCTCATTTAAATACTCAAATCAACCTTTGGGGGGGCAACAAAGTCTTAATTTTACTGGATGCTTCAATACTTTCAAAATAAAACAATACAAGAGAGAGATGGACACAATCAAGTGAAAAGGTAAAAGCTAGTGGAATACAGATTTGCAAAATTAAGAGGTTCTATAAAACATACACACTCTTGCTAATTTATTTGCGGATATAAGTTTGAGTTCAGAATAATGCAGGAATGGATACAGGTTTGCTTAAAGGAAGCGAAGATCAAATGCTTTTCTCATATGACTAACAAAATGATGCAGACCACTCATCTTTTTAAAAATGATTTTTAAATTTACAGTAAACAGCAAGGAAATAAAATTATATTCTCTATTGAGCGTATATTTATATATATGACATGAATAAAGCACGTTATAGCAGAAAAGATTATTTCTTTACACTGAGAGGAACAGTTTACAAGTCATTTTCAATTAACAGCTGTTTAACACAAAATAAAAGTATGAAATAGTTACAGAAAAGAGACTTCTAAATATCAAATTACCACAACCATTACCTACTGGTACATTAAAAAAAAAAGGGATGGGGAAGGGTTAGTTTCTGCCACTATAAAAGGGGGTAAAAAAAAACACCAACAGTTCATCCCTTTCAAAAACTAAACCTTTTTAAACAAAGCTCTATGGCTATTATATTATGTTACATAGTATAATAAAGTCATTTTTTGCTTTCTGTCTTTTGTTATCAATAAAAGCATCACTAATCTAAAACCAAAAAAAAAAAAACTCAATGTCATTCAGTCACAACCCCACTGGGTTTCCAAGGCTGTAAATCTTTACAGAAGCAGACTGTCTCATCTTTCTTCCATGGAGGCTGGTAAGTTCGAATCACCAACCTTTTGGTTAGCAGCCGAATGCCTTAACTACTGCACCACCAACGCTCCTTTCACTAACCAGACGTACTTAATATTTCCTGCAATTCAGATTTATCACTAATACTCACAAAATCTGAGATGTGCAGTACTTTCCAGTTTGCAAAATTCTGTCCATCATCTCATTTATTCTCACAACTAATCTGTGAGGATAAATACGGTAGATATTACTACCCTTGGACAGAAAGAACTGTTTAGACCGAGTGTGGAGTAAAGATTTACCCAAAGTAAGGTGACCTTTTGCCCTTGGTTCCTGAGAAATAACCCTTGAGTAACTGGGTTACCTTGGTCTGGGACTCACACCACACTAAGGATTTGTGTTGGCAAATGGGGACTAGTCAGACCAGAAAAGACTCACCCAGGAGGCTGATACCAATAGCCTCAGAAGGAATGACTGAGGCTACCATACAAGACTGGCCAATAAAAACCCACAACACTACGACTCAGAAAGCTTCTTGGTGGGCAAAGAGAGGGTGATGTGCCCTCTCTGAAACTCAATCACTGAGCATTGGAAATCTTCCCTGTGCATCTCTTCCTTATGATGACCCTGATTTATATCCTTTTACTATATCAAAACTAGTAGTTCCAAGTATATGTTCCCTGAGTTCTGTTCATCATTACAACAAATTAACAAACCCAAGAACAGTGCCCTCTTAACATGTAAGGTCTGATGTAACCTTCAGTGGCTAGGGACAGAGAGAAAGAGCTATATTGGTAACTGGTATCAGAAATGATAGCAATGTGGAATACCAAGGAAATGACTCATCTCCCCGTTTTGGGAACCAGCTTTATGCTAATTCTCATCTATGAAACTATCGTCATATTGAGGCATAAAAAAATTAACTAATAAAACTAGTAAGAGGTATAACTGAAAATAAAACTAAACCTTGTAACTACAATCCACTGACAAAGTTTTCCTTGGATTTCTCCTAACAGGACTGAAAAATACTAAATGCATAATAAGTCTCCTGCCTAACATATCCTTCAAACTCTCAATCTATTTCCCAAAGTAACCACTTTTAACCATTCCTCCTTTTTAATCACCTAAACTTTTAAAACAATATAAGAGAAGGTAATTAATGTTTCCTCTGCCTACATTTAAATTTTGGTAGTTCAATTATAGCCACTGAAATGAACAGTTTCACTGGTATAGAATTGCTCTTTGGCTTCATGTTAGTCACAGTACTCAGGAGTCTTAAGAAAAACTTCTATATCCCTGAAACGTAAGCATCTTCAAAGCAAGAAGAAAGAACAGAGACACAAAAAGAGAAAGGTAGAAAAAAAAGGTGGGGCAAAAAAAAAGCTTTTAATGGAATATGTAATACCACGTTAAAAACAGACACATAAATATCTTCCACAAGCATTCACACAGATATGTCTTGAGTTACAAAAAATAAAAATAAAAAATCCTAGTAAAAATTTATCTCACAAAGCTTTTATATAAAGTATAAAACAAGTCTCACTGAGACCAGCATGCTCATCAACTGGTTGAATTCTTCTCACTAATGAAGTGATTCAAGCCTTTTTATGCTGGAGAACCACTTCCAGAACTCATCAAAATTACAAACCACAACTGTAATGAGCCTTCAGTGTTCCTGGGGAACAGTTATATCTACAAATATCATAGAGTTGTGATTAAACTGGATGGAGATACCTGGCAACATTGTGATTGTCAGAAAAAAGGCACCATGGAGGGCATGAATTACAGGAATTATGAATTAACTTTTGTTTGTTTTAAATTATAAGATTTTCATAAATATGGAAATCCAAGCCAAATTGAGCACTTGAAAGGCCTGCCCACATGGCATTTTTGTACCTGTTTCCAAATTCTTTGAAGAAAGTAGACTAAGAAAATTATTCATATAGTTGCTTTTTAAAAGAAAGGAGGGAGAAAAAATGTTTTGATTTCTTCCTAAAAGTAAAAGCAGTATTATGTTAAGTGGTATAATAGGTAATTCACTCAACAGCCTAACACTACTACCCTAGGATACATACAAGAAACATTTTTAGCTTCATTTACTTTATGGTCACTCTTACCATCACCATCCTTTTAAGCCGTGGCAGGGATAGCACCATTTATTTCAGAAAAACCAAGAAAAAGACCACAGGAGGGTCCCTTCTAGGACATGGAGGTCAGGTGGTCTGACCCCACAGTGTGGGGCTGCTAGTAGGAGAGCGCTTGCCCTAGCTAGGTCCTCAGGCTCCCACAGATGGAGACAGGCTGTGGTCTCCTCTTCATCCTCCCAGTCATGGGCTCTGGCTCCCCTCCCAACCAAGATACTAACTCCCCTCTAACCACCAATGACCTCTCCCTCCATCCTCTGGGCCTTCACTTCCAGATAGGTAGTGGAATGTGGCCTGGTGTGAGCAAGGAGACCCTCTCAGACTGAGCTTAGATGGAAGCAACTACTTATAAGAGGTGGAGTGGGGTTTCCCTTGCAGCCCCTGAGGGTGGGATTCCTAGACTGGGTAACTAGGGGAAGGTAGGCCAGGAGAGCTTGGTGGGAGAAGGGGAGACTGGCTAGGACATGGGCTGGGGAAGGTAGGGAGCTGCTGCCCAGGGGTGAGCTGCCTTTTGCTCCACCACTGGTAGTCAAACAGCTTTCACAACCTCAGGGAGGGTGGCAAAGGCTATGCCCTTCCATTCAGGAAGCTGGTGAGGCAGCAGGTTTTAAGCTGAAGGTAGAGTGTCCAAAGAGCTTTCACAGAAAAGAAGGCTACCCAAAGGCTGCCAGAGATGGGTAATTCAGCTCTACCTTGGGGAGTTCTACCTGGGGGCCAGTAGGGGCAGTTCTGCGTCCACCTGGCCACCACATCTGGCCCCAGTTCCTGGAGGCTTTCTGAAAAACAGTCACATCTAACCCACCCTGCCTACCAGCCTTGTGGCTTTGCCCAGGTGTGTGTGTGGGGCTGGGGGGAAGGGATGGGAGTATAAGTCCATGCTCCAGTCCAGCACAAGGCAGTAACATCAAAGCGTGGCATTGCCTCAGTTTCTTACAAAACCATCATCCTTTTAAGAATAAAATATTTCAAAATAAAAACCAAGCTATACTCACATATTCACAATTTCAAACATGTTAAAGCGAAGCATAATGAAGTGATACATCCTTAGGTGCAAGACAGGATTAAAAAAAACTAAAGGGGCCAAGAAAAGTGATAAATTCATAAGGCCACCAAGGAAGCCTAGAAATAACTGAGGAACACCCATTTAAGATTTAGTCTATCCAGGGCAACTCTAACATAAAATGTCCCATTATCATTAAGGACTATTAAGCCAAAGAGCATATTGCCATATCTAACACCTGACCACACTCATTCTGAAATATAATATTTTTATCCCAAAGCAACTGAAAATTTCTTAGCATAAACTATAGTTCTCATACTACAAGCAATGAGAACCATTTTTTAATGTATTAAATAAAGATAATCAGTTCAGTTTTTACTAAAGTTTGGGCTATATTTTGGGGGGGGGGGGGTCCAATAATTTTTCACTTCAACTTGAATACATATTTTTACTTTAAACATTTATTGACAAAAATGTTTGCACATACCTCTCAGCATCTTTATCTTCAGGCAGCATGGGAGGCAAAGGTAATGGTGGTAATGTAGAGGTCACTATAGTTACATGTTGCTCCTTCTCCTTGGCTCCTATGCTTGGTGTAAGTGGTTTGCTTTTCTCTTTAAGAGTTACTGGTTCTTCCTTTGTAGCAGCAGATTTACTCTCCTTCCCCACCACAGCTGCTTTCTTGGTGGCTTTATCTACAATCAAATTATTGTCCACCTTTGTTACCTGAATAGGTGGCTTTGCTTTTGCCTTGTCATTTTTTAAAGTTCCACCGCTTGAGGGAGAAGATGCATGCTCAGTTTTAAGTTTCTTCACATCCTTCACATGGTTTGTTTGCGATGCACTGGCACCAGTTTCTGTGTTCCCCTTGGTAGGTGTAGAAGTATTTGAGGCTTTTGCAGCTTTAGCAGCAGCCTCAGCAGCTTTGGCTGCTTCTACAGCTTTGGCTGCTTCTGCAGCTCTTGCAGCCTCTGCAGCTCGTGCTTTTTTATTCTTGTTCAATTCAGCTGCCAGGCTACTCTTCAGAGTTAGTGTGCTAGGAGAAATGCTAGAATGACGACTTCTGGATCTAGACAGTCTGTGTCTGCTACGAGATCTTGAATGCCTAGATGAATATGGGCTTCTGCTTCGGGATTTGGCAGACCGTCTGATGGAAAATAATTAAGGTTTAGTCAGTAATTTAGAAAGTTTCAGTTTGAAATTTACAAAGTCAGGCCTAACCCCAGTCTATGAAATTAAGCAGAATATTACTTAACCATTTCAAAATCATAGTATCATTTTGTTCAAAGGACTTTCAAAAAACAGAAAGTGCTTTAAAGTAGAAAATTACCTGGAAGCTACAGTTTTCTTAAAAATAGATTGTCTTTAACACAATCTCTATCAATATTCCAAAAGACTTTTTGCAGAAATGGAAAAGCTGATCCTCAAATTCATATGCAAGGGGCCCCAAACAGCCAAAACAGTCTTTTTTAAAAGAAAAAAGTTGCCATTTTCTGATATCAAAATGTACTATAAGCTACAGTAATCAAAACTATCTAGTACTGATAAAATGATAACTATAGACCCATGAAATAGAATTGAGAGTCCAGAAACAAATCCACACATTCATGGTCTACTGATTTCTGATAAGGGAGTTAAGTCCATCCAATGAGGAAAAAATATCTCTTTAATAAATGGTGCTGCGACAACTGAATTTCTACAAACAAAAGAATGAACCAGAACTTATATCTCACACTGTACATGAAAACTACCTCAAATTCGATTAAAGACTAAATATATTATGTAAAACCATAACCTCTCAGAAGAAAACATAGAAGTAGTGCTTCAAGACCTAGTTTTTTAACAATGTATTCTTAGATACCACACCAAAAACATGATCAACAAAAGGCAAAATAGACTAACAGGACCTCATCAGTATTAAAAACTTTTGTTCATCAAAGGATTTTATTAACAAAGTTGAGAGGCAAACTACAGATTGGGAGAACATTTTGGGGAACCATTTGGTTTAATATCCAGAATACATAAGGAACAACAAAAAGACAACCCAAAGGAAAAGCAGGCAAAGGACATGAATAAACATTTCACCAAAGAAGATATACAGATGGTCAAAAAGTACATGAAAAGATGCCCAAAATCATTAGGGAAATGCGAATCAAAACCAAAATGAGATATTACTTCATGCCCACTAAGATGTCCATGATTTAAAAACATAAAAAACAGGTGTTCATGAGCATATAGAGAAATTATAAAATTATAATTTGTATCTATTGCTGGTAAGACTGAAAAATGGTATAGCCACTGTGGAAAAGAGTCTGGTTGTTCCTTAAAAACAGAATTAACATATTATCCAGCAATTTCACTACTAGGTATACCCAAAATAACTGAGTGCAAATAAACAAATAAATACATGTATACCAATATTCACTGCAGGACTAATCACAAAACCAAAAGATAACAACAAACAAAAAGCCCATCAACAAGATAATGGATAAACAAAATATGACATTCATATAATGGATTATTCAGCCATGTTGCTGTTGTTACGGGCCATTGAGTTGGACCCGATTCATAGCGACCCTTCCATGGGTTTGTGAGGCAGTATCACTGTGTAAGTAGATTGCCCAACCTTCCTCCCAAAAGAAGCTGGTAGGTTTGAAACTCCAGGAGTCAAGTGCCTTAGGCACTATGCTACCACAGATGAAGCCAAAGAACATTACTGAGAGTGAAATAAGCCTGAGAAAAGCATTAATATAATAATAATCCCACTTACATGAAAAATCTAGACTAAGTGAATGTATAAGACAAAAGTTTAAAAGTTTTATGTTGTTGTTGTTGTTATGTGCCGTCGAGTCAGCCCCGACTCATAGCGACCCCTCCTTGGGTTTCCGAGGCAGTATCACTACGGAAGTAGGATTGCCCAACCTTCCTTCCAAGGGGATCAGTAATCAAAACAATTGATACTGATATTATAACCAATGGACCAACAGAACAGAATTCAAAGTCCATACTTCAATTCCAGAACTCAGAAAAATGCTGAGTAAACAATACAAGAAGCTACACTATATGAAAAATGCAAAATCAGGATTGAAGGAAGAAGAGTCCGGGCAAAATGACGGACTAGGCAGAAAGACTGCACAGACCCTCTTAAACAAAGAAAAGAGAAACCAATTAACACAGACACAGAAGATAATCCTGGACCCCAGAGCCTTGAAGGGAAGGATACAAGTGGACTAAACCCTAAACCCCAACTAGCAGAAGAATTTGCATGAAAATACCAAAAAAGGAGACAGAGGAGCTGTGGTCTGGCAGCGATCCTGAGAATTCCTGATGGCACAGACAGCTTGTAGATTCCCGAGTGGTGGTCAGACCTAAGAATTAACCTAAAAATCTCCCTGTTAGCCAGGGACTGCACAGAGGACTGTGCATGGTGGCTGGGGAACAGACAGACAAAGTGAAGAGAAAGGTGAGCTGAGCAGTGGATTTTGCTGTTACAGAGGGTGCTGCCATTTTGAAGGTTTAAAAAGCAGCTTGATTTTGGCTATTTAAAGAGCCAGTGCTCTCACATATTCCTGGGGCTTAAGAACACGTTCCGCTTTCCAGCAACTCCAAGGACACTTGGGACCTGCAAGACTGAAAAGGTAGGACACTCCACTTGTTACTCTTATACCCCAACACCTGCTTGATGAATGGAGGTGCGGCCATCCCCCACTCCCACCTACCTTCTGGGCCCACAGGAACTCCATCACAGTCTGTGTGCTCAGAGGGAGCCTGGTTGCCCTACCATGTCCTACACCAATTTTTTTTTTCTCTTTTTATATTTTTTTCTTTTTCACTTTCTTTTTTCTGGGGATTAGTTTCCTTGTATTTGTCTCTTATAAAACAACCAATATTATTCCTACTTTTGTCCTTTTTTATTATTATTCTTAATCTTCCCCTCCCAGGTCATAGTTTACAACATTTTTTCCTTTCCCTGTGCCTGGATGAAATTTTTTTTTAATATAAGGTGGTTTTTTTTCTTTTCTTTTCTCCCTTTTTTCCCATGGTTAACTCCGTTCCTTATTTTTCTTTTTGCATTTTTCCCTTTTTTTTTTCCACTTATTATTCTCCTTCTCTACTTTCTTTTTTCTTAGTGCCCTATCCCCAAATACTGCAAGTTTTCTTGTTTTTTATTCTTTACATTTTTTCCCTTTTTCCTTTATTTGGTTACTGTTCCTATGTGATTACATGGTGTGTTTTTCATGCAGGGCTTTTAGTTTTTTGTTGGTTATTCAACTGTAATTTGTGTCTAACTCAGTGGGAGACAACAACAGTCCCCTTATTAAGACACAAATACAGCCACACCTCCTGCAACTTCACTTACTGAGCAAGAGCCACTACCTCCTTCTCCACCAATAAGCCAACAATAAAAAAAACACCAAGAACAGCCTGAATCACCCTTGGCTGCTCTTCACAGTTAACAGAAATCTAAATACAACAATGCCATGATGCCTTGGAAACAACAGACCATCACAGGGAACATAAAGTAGCAGGATAAAGTGGTAGAAACAAGGGAGAAGGATACAGACACAGAACACATCCCTGAGGAAGAAGCAGCATTGGAACTCTCTGATAAGGAATTCAAAAGAATTATCTTTAGTTATCTTCAAAGCATTGACAGACAGACCAAAGAAACACAGAAAAAACCTGAGAAGAATTTTGGAAGAAAATACAAGAACAAAATGACAAAATAAATGAAAAATTAGAAATTATTCTAAATCTACAGATAGAAATCCAGAAGATAATACTAAATTGTCAGAAATAGCTAACACATTGGAAGGGCAAAGGAGAAGAACTGATGCGATAGAAGACAGAATTAATGAGATTGAAGACAAATACTTGAATACTTCTTTGGAAAAGGATCAATCAGAAAAAAAAATCAAAACTAAATGAAGAAAGCCAAAGGGTCATGTGGGATTGTGGGATACGAGCAAAAGGAATAACTTACCTATCATTGGAATTCCTGAACAGGAAGAGAAAAACAAAACCACTGAGAAAATTGTCCAAGATTTGCTGGAGGAGAACTTCCCTGAAATGATGAAAGATGAGATTTATATCCATTCAGGAAGTCCAACGAAGCCCAAACAGGATAGACCCCAAAAGAAAATCACCAAGACACATCATCATCAAACTCATCAAAACCAAAG